CTCCACAGGGGACCGTACCTCAATGCTGCAGAGCCATGTCTTGGGGCCAGTAGGGGAAATGACACTCCGCCTTGACCCCTGCTGCCAGGAAGCACTGCCAGACCAAACCAGGAGGAGGGCAGGATTGCAGTGATTCTGACTGTGCGGGAGAGAAGTGCCAAGGGCAAAACCTTCCGGGACCTTTCACAAACCTTCGGACAGTCCTTCAGCATTTCCCCCTTGTGATAGTATGCACAAAAAGCACAATACCTGGAGCTTCAGCATTTACTATCAGAAAATATATGCCGTCACATCAATGGACTCCTTCGGGACTCCTACTCCTTGGCCTGGGCTCTTGTTGATGAAATCCCTGAACCCCCTGGCCGGCTCCTCATGGCTCTCATCACTGGCTACTAGTAGGAAAAGCTGGTGGCTGATCCCAGGTCATGCCCTTCGGCCTCTGCAATGCCCGTTCAAACGACTAATGGAAAAGATGCCGGGATGATGCTTGTGTACCTGGATGATCTGATAGTGCACAGCAGCTCCTTCAACAGTGCACTCCATGTCCTCGGCCTGGTTCTGGAACAAGTTGCTGCCGCAGGCCTGCATTTGCACCTGGAGAAGCGCCCCCTGATGGAGGTCTTATTCCTCGGCTACCACCTCAGCGGTGGCAAGAAGGACAAGGTCAGGGCAGTGTGGTATGGGCCGGCTCCCCATAACCTGAAACATTTGAGGACCTTTCCTAGGATTGATGTCATACTACTGTTGCTTCATGGCTGGTCTCGTCACAGTCACAGTCCCTCTTCAGGAGGCAAGGCAGGAGGCATTCAACACCCTTCAGCTGGCCTTGTGTGAAGCTCCAGGTCTGACTGGTCCTAATCCCAAGGTTCCTTTCATCCTAGACACCGATGTCAGTGATGAAGGACTGGGATCCATTATGTTGCAGCATATAGGTGAGGGGAAATGAGTGATAAACTGCAACAGCCAGACCATGACACCAGCAGAGTGCAAATATTGTGTCACACACCGCAAGCTGCTGGCTGTTGTGGTTGCAGTCGTGTACTTTCATGACCACATCTGCGGGCTCCCATTTCACCCTCCAATGGCTCCTATCCTTTAAAGAACCCAAAGGCCAGGCCCTTTAACCCTTCCCTGTGAGCACACCGATGCTGTGGGTAGCAGTGGATATCCTGGGACCCCTGCCTAGAACCCTGAGGGTCAATCGGTTTGTGCAAACAGTGAAGGACAAAGCTGGACCGAGGCCTAAGGCCTGCTGGATCAAAAGACAGAGATGGTGAGTGACGCACTGATTGAATGGTTCTTCTGTGGTTTTCAGATCCCCCGAAAGATGCACTCCAACCAAGAATGGAACTATGAGTCCAGCGTGTTCCCTACCACACGTCAGCACCTAGGGATCAAGAAGACCCAGACTACCCCCCTTCACTTGCAAAGAAGGCCTAGTGGAATGCTTTAATTGGATCTTGGGATTCCA